ACTCTCCAACAGCTCAGTCCCCAACCTATGCAAACCCTTTTCTTTTGTTTAGCTAAGCCCTTTTGTGCAGGTACAAGATCAATTCATGGAGGTATTTTTGGCCTCTGCCTCCTCATCCCATTGAGCACTGCCTGCCCACTTCTCAGCAGGGTCCCCAAAGACCAGCAGCTGGGGTTGTGTGGGATGGCTCCGACCCTGGCTTATGGGTGTCTGGGCTCCTCTGCCAAAGGAGCTGTTTCTCAGCTGCTCACCTTTGTTTTTCGTAGGGGGGGAAGATCCCCGTCAGGTGGACAGCGCCAGAGGCCATTGCCTACCGTAAGTTCACCTCAGCCAGCGATGTCTGGAGCTACGGCATCGTCATGTGGGAGGTGATGTCATTTGGGGAGAGACCCTACTGGGACATGTCCAACCAAGATGTAAGCACTGGGGGTCATCCACACAGCTCTGGAGGGTGTGGGGTGCTCATTCCCAAAAGAAAGCCCTGCCTGAACGGCTCTCTGCTCTTTCCCAGAGCCTTGGCAGTACTCGCTTTTTTAGATGAAACAGGCTGGCGAGCGAGAGGATGCAAGGAGGGAAATTGGGAAGAAAAGCCAGTGGGCTGGTAATTGGACTTCAGGAAGCTGCAGGGCCTTTGAAAATGTTCAGAGGGTTTACGAGTGGGTAAAGAGCTTTGGTAGTTGGACTGCTGTACTCCGATACGATCCACCGAGATAATGAGTGGCAGCTCTCCGCCGGGAGGAACTGCAGTGTGCGGAGCATCAGAGTGGAGATTAACCTCCGAGAGCCCCAGCTCCGTCGGAGCCGGGAGTGTCTCCTCCTGCTTCCTTTGCTGATGATCAAATGGGCTGGCAGCTGCTTTCCCGGCCTGCGGCAGTGCTGCCTGTAGCACCTCTGCCCGCCCATGTGGCTCGGCTCAGAGAGAGGAGCAGCAGGGGTGGCTCACTCCCCTGCTGTGGCTACAACTTTCCTGACGTGAGACCTCCAAGTCCCCTGTCCTCACATGCTGCTTTCTCCCCTGCTGCCCCACAGGTCATCAATGCCATTGAGCAGGATTACCGGCTCCCACCGCCCATGGACTGTCCTGCTGCCCTGCACCAGCTGATGCTGGACTGCTGGCAGAAGGACCGCAACACCCGCCCACGCTTCACCGAGATAGTCAACACCCTCGATAAAATGATCCGCAACCCGGCAAGCCTCAAAACTGTGGCTACCATCACCGCTGTGTGAGTCTTCTGATGCGCAGGGGATGCTCTCCTGTCAGCATCCCAAGCTGTGGTGAAAGGCTCCGTGAGCGGCTCGTGCTGCTGGGGGGAAGGACAGGAATTCATAAATTGTTTGCCAGGCATGGGGCAGGTTCTCTCTTTGCTCTGCCTGACAGTCAGACAAAAAACATGTAGTTTTCAATCGAGCAACAGCAATAATTCTTTGCTATTGATTCTTTACGGCATGCGATCATACGGGCACAGTGTCTGTCAGCACCTCCTTCCCTGTGGCTCCTGCAGCTGGATTACAACGTGTGGGGTTGCACAGTGCTGCTTGGTAGAGCAATATTCCCATGAGACAGGCCTTCCTCATGGCCTTCCTTGTCTCAGGCATGTGCCGGGGGGGAGCACAAGAGCGCAGGGGAGTGGATTGGGAAGCACGTCTGTGCACTGGCTGGGCTCCTATGTGGCAGCCCCTTGGTGCCAGCCAGGCTTGTCCCCAATGGTGTGTGCTGTTGCAGGCCTTCTCAGCCCCTCCTCGACCGCTCCATCCCTGACTTCACTGCCTTTACCTCAGTAGACGACTGGCTGAGTGCTGTGAAGATGAGCCAGTACCGGGACAGCTTTCTGACCGCTGGCTTCACCTCGCTGCAGCTTGTTGCTCAGATGACATCAGAGTGAGTTGGGTGTCATGCCAGGGCTGCCCAAAAGCTGGGTGCTGCCTGGGATGAGTTGGGGTTGCGGGGAGGTGGGAAGGTCAGGTCAAGGCACCTGCAAAGGGAGGGTGTGAGCATCTATCACACTGGTCAGCAGAAGCCCCCTGACTCTGGAAGTGGCTGCATTCACCATTTGGGAGTCAGTGTACGGGTGTGTCTGCCTGCTCTCGGTCTCACTTTGCCCCTGGGGATGCTCATGGGACTCCATTTGGGCTCTGTGGCTGTTTTTCTGCTGAAAGATGTGGACCAGCTGGGCTTACATCCCTCACCTCACTTAGAGACAGCAAAACAGATACACCAACCCTCAGCTGTCCAGTGATACTCCTCTGTCTGTCTCTCTGTCTGTCTTCCAGAGACCTCCTGAGAATAGGGGTGACTTTGGCTGGGCACCAGAAGAAGATCCTGAACAGTGTCCAGTCCATGCGAGTACAGATGAGTCAGTCTCCGACCTCGATGGCATGACGTCCCTTGTTCAACAGGGAGGGGACGGGGAGGGCACACAACGGAGGGGCAGAGGTGGGAGGGGAGGAACTGTTGGGTGCCGTGGGGCAGCATTTGGAGAGGTGCCACCGCTGACTGGGGACTGTGACCACAGACGAAGGATGTTCCTGAGATTCATCTCTAACTGGTGACTTCAGTTCCTCACCAACAGAAGCACACTTACCAATGTCATGAGGAACAGCGTATAAATACATATAAATATGTACAAATCATGTATTTAAAAAACAAAACAAAAAACAAACACAAAAAATAATGAAGACAAACCAATGTGCGTTGGGGAAGCAAACCCAAACCCTAGAGGCCAGACTCCAATCCCACCACCAGTGAGCAGTGGTCAAAACTGAGGAGGAAGGGGCTGTTGGGGAAGGGAGCAGCATAAGATGGAGCATCCTGTCTGGAGAAACCACGTTCCTTTTCTTTTCTTCTTTCATCCTCCTTCCCTGCCCCAGCCTTCCCTGCTCACCCTGCTCCCCTCTCTGCTCATGGACCAGGTGGAAGTGTCTTCAGATGTCTCCGCAGCTCCTTGCTGTCCTGCCCGGGTGCTGCTCTGGCGACTACCAAAGGACTTGGCTGACCACTGCATGGGGGATCCGACTCAATCCAGTTAATGTCTTCATATTGAAGAAGAGATGTACCTTCAATAGAAAACCTTGGTTTTTTTTTTTTTCTCTTTTGCTTGCATTTTTTTTGCAAAAAGGAAAAAAAGGATTAAAAAAAAAAATCCATCCTGGAAAATGCAAAGAGAAGTTCCCGTGTGTGTGTGTGCACTCGTGCACATGTGTACGTTGTCAATCTACCATGGACTCACTGCTTGTCCGTAACCGAAGATCACTGCT